CCCGGACCCATCAGCTTTTGTCCTGACATGGGGTACAGGTGTGGGAGTGGTGATATGAGTGCCGGTTTCCGTTCCATTTCGCAGCATGTTTGCTGGCGCCCCCTCCCCCCACCTCCTCCTGATTTGAAGCGTGGGCGTTCTAGAGTAAAGGTTTTTAACTGAGTTCTCATGCAAACAAAACAGACTCCGGAGAAGGCAAATTGCTACCAAAAGTTGGGCCTTTTGTGCGCGGGATAAAAGTCCCACCATTAATTGTTTAGCCCCTGCTAAGACTGTACGCAGGGGTCAGGTGACCTGGCCTGTTTAGCCCTAACCGATTCGCCTAGTTAACAGTTATATATGTGGACCTTTTCAGGGATGCTCTCACTTCTGCCTGCGGTAAATGATGAAGCATCCAGCATATAGCCCCAACCCCCTGTTACTACTCATCGTCATGGTTTGAAGTGCGTGTGCCCTCAACCGGGTACGATACATTTGTTCCGGGGAGGGGGGTGGGGGGGGGCAAGGGAGGCGAACTGAACAGTTGCGCCAATGTCGCCACCGTGGGGATTACTTTAACTAAATTAAGGCAACGGTGCCATGCAAGAGGGCAGTGTTGCTTCACGGACTCCAGTCAGCTTTGCCCCTAGCGTAAACAACTCCACGATAAACCCTTGATTATTCCCACAGGACGAAGGTCAAAACACGTGATGTTCAACAGGAATTATAAAAAGGGTGTCTACGGCTCTGCTCTAAGGTGCAGAGTTGCGCAATTAGACAGAATGATGCTCAAGAATTAGTGGAAAGCAGGACAGACGACTAGGCTACATCTACCCAAAAAGATTCTTAGCTATACATAGGAGTACAGTTTAAGCTCGTTTTCTGTAAGTCTGGTTGCTTTAACCCGCCTATTTATTTTGATTTACGCTAACGAATCCTCTTCAAGATTCTAAAACAAGCAGAGATTTCAAAAAGTGACTACAATCTCTTAAGGGGTGCTATGTTGAAGTAAAGCACCATAATCACTACTTTTATCATTCATTGATGCTCGACTAGGGGCTCAGGAAGATGAAGCTGCGAACATTTAAATGGTGATTTAAGCATCAATTTTGAACCATTGCTTTACTAAAAGTATATTTGAAGTTCATGGCCTTGGGGGATTAAGTGCCTCTCGGTGATATTTCCCTGAATTTCCCTTAGCGCTTTGAACTTCAATTTACGTAAGAACGTCAAGGTTTCCAAAGGCATGAAGAAGAAGGTAATATCCACTCGTAAGATTAACAATTTAGGCATAAATTCAACACAAATATACATTTTAAAGAGGTCTCTAAAACGCAAAAAATGGATAATTTGTGCCGCAGGTAACATTTAAATCTGGGTTAGTTTTGCTAAAGTTTTAGTCCTTCACGTACTCCGTCTCAGGAAGTTCTCTCACGCGCGTTTCGTAGCTACCACTTTAATAGTAGCTTGGCCCGTGCGTAGGTCATTCCAATCACCGCCATCATGGGACTGTAGGTGTTATCCAACCTGGCGTAGTAATATGACACGGCAGCCAAGACCAGAATGCTTGCAATGCAGTTCAGTATAAAGGAAGGTAGGGAGAGGTTCTTCAAGGACGATGCACAGCTTATAACGGCGAGTAAGATGGCCACGAGTTCTAGGGCGAGGGCGCTGGCAAGGAGGGCCCCCACAACGAGATAGGCATTGCTCCTTGGCGAATTCATGCAGGATGTCAAAATGGTACCACAAGGCCAGTATGGTAGGGCCAAAGCGAGACTGAGAAAGAGGATGGAGAAACCAATATGAACTACCGGCTGGATATCGGACTTTTCCATTTCGCAGCGTTAACAGCACCTTCTGAATGCGAGTTCCCTGGGCTGCTGCTGCTTATGTATCTCACCGGCAACCTGTTTCTTTTTGGGGGAAGTAGACCAACCAAATCTCTGCTCAGACGCCAATTGGTTCTCTCCACAGCTTCAGCCGCTGTTTTTCATGTCAGTTGCTGTTGTTGTTGTTGTTGTTGTTGTTGGAGGTTCCACGTAGCATGACTGACGGGCGTTTTTGCGCGCATGTGCCTGCGGCTACGTACAAGGTACCTCGCCTGAGATAAAATGAAATTACTATCCCCTGAGCGCAATAAAAGTGTTTCTATTAAGCAGTCTGCTTATGAAGAACAACCCTCTGTGGCACGAGAAAGGAATTGAGAATATGTCGGAGCTCTGTCAGATTCAGTTTATTACCCACGCAGTAGGATGTTAGTTCTGTGCTCTGCCTCCCATTCTACTACTCTCTTCTTTTTCCTCCTCCTCCTCCTCCTCCTCCTCCT